TTTTTTTTTTTTTTTTTTTTTTTTTTTTTTTTTTTTTTTTTTTTTTTTTTTTCCTCAACCGTACACACCAAAATTATGTACACTTGTTAAATGAGGAAACAATTTTTTATTTTACGTATACCATTGATTTTTAAGCTTCAATGTTCAAGAAAACTTGAAAAGATGCATTTATGTCTTGCGCTTTAAAGTATTTGATAGCATCGTTTGAGGAATGCGTTCGCTTTCAGGTCGATATTTTTTCCAACTTTCAATTAATAAGATGCTAAGATTTGCTAGCATGAGTTGAATACTTCTATATCGAAAGGTATTGAACTTCGCTTTTAACGAGATGGAATTGGTTCTTCTAATACTATATGCTTTTTGGGGACTTTTTGACAACGTTTTGGTTATTTAATTGCTTTTTTTTTTTTCTTTTTACTTTTTCTTGATAAAATGTATTTTAAAAACAAACAAACAGACTTTTCCTACGAATGGAAAGTTTTACGGGGACACAATAAAAATTAGCAAGGCCAATTTTCGAAGCTGGTAAAGTAAAAAAAGCTCGTTGTTCTCCAAGATCTGAGGGGTAAATTGAACATCGATCGAAGTAAGAGCTGTGGATAAAAGTCAGTGAAGAGTGGTGCCGCATGTCGCGATGTCTCTGATTGCTGTGAAATCGTTAAGTTCATTGGAATCAATTGAGGACACAATTATACAACTACTTGATGCCTAATGGTTTACGATTGACGAGTAGAGAGTTTGTTATTTTTGCCTGTGCTTGGTAATGCCTCCCCGTTTGATCCTTACACTCGCTTGCTAATCCACCTCCTCCGTTACTAATTAGTCTCACTGTTATCTGGTTTTGGCTTTAATTTCACATAATTGTTAACTAATTTTTTTTTTCCATTTTGATTTACATCATTGAATATTAATGAAATCGTTTTTACATTCAATTTTTTTTCCTTTAACTTCAGTAATTTTACTTTATTGCGTTTTTATTTAAGAACCCGCTCATCAACTTTACATTTTTATTGTACGATTGACGCGTAAATAAAAAAATTTATGCTTGCAGGTAAATTCGATACGAATTCGTCTGAAATACACATTTTATTTAACTTGTAAGTTCGAAATTTTTCATAGTGATGAAAAAAACGTGTTATTGTTTGTCTTTGAATTATTCAAGAGAAAAACGCGTTTTTATGAATTTCATGCATATTCAATGAACTCAATGCAAATTTCTTTGACACACGAAAACTTTGACTCCTTTGCTGTTACAATTTGACTCATGTTTGAAGCACTAACAGTTGACACAGCAAACTTCACTCCTTTGTAAAGAAACANAAAAAAAAAAAAAAAAAAAAAAAAAAAAAAAAAAAAAAAATGTGCCAACATACATTGAAAAACAAAAAAAAAATGATCGCACCAATAATTGGGTTAAAAAAAATCTCATCATTCACTTTGCATGTTGCAAACCGGCCGATTGGAACTGGATCCGGTCTTCATTGTTTCTAGTTCGTTTCTCTCTTGATCTCGATCTCCTTAACGTCCTACGCCTTTGTATTTTTCCACTGTAATCATTCGATGAAGTTTTTTTTTTTTTTTTTTTTTTTTTCAAGCAAAAAATTTTACAATTTTAGCGAACACGTTCGCAAACTGTTTTATTCGCTCCTCAACACACAACTTCCCAGATGCAATACAGCTTTGACAAAAAGAAGAAAAATAAATCTGGAGAGATAAGAGAGGAGCAGAAAAAGAAAAAAAAAGAAAAAAAAACATTTTAAATAGAAAAAAAATACAACGAGGCAGCCAGAAAGCACACACAAACACCCACACACATACACACGTGCAGAAAGATGGTTGGTGTGTATATATGATGTCTGATCGTCTGGTGATGCTTGTTTGTAGCGATGACGAGCTTTTTCTGTGATTTGGCTCCGCAGCTGGGCTGCTGGCTGGCCGCACGTCAGATGCACAACGTGATGATGCGCGGGGTACTGCGCGCCCCGCTCACCTTTTTCGACACGACACCCATCGGTCGTATTATCTCCAGGTTCGCTAAGGACGTCGATGTCCTGGACACGTCTCTCCCCCAACAAATTTCCGATACCATCTATTGTTCATACGAGGTAAATCCTAGTCATCTCGCTGTAAAAAAAAAACATAAAAAACAAACACTGGCTGACTAAAACTATACGTGACATTGATGATCGATCTCTCTCTCTCTCTCTCTCTCTCCCCTTTCCACCCTCTTTTAGACATTCCTGCGTGTAAACTTATTTATTTTTCGCGCCCTGACGTAAGTATATAAAAGTTGATTCGTGAGGGGGAAGTTGAAACAAAAAAAAGTGCGTTTTCGCGGAAAAATCATCTGTTGCGGTTTTCATCTAGTTTCCATCATTCGTCAGCTTTTCTTCAGCAGAGAGGAGCATATTATTTTTTCGTTTCATCAAAGATTTTCATTAGTCCGAGTGTTTATTTCCATGCCATGAAAACTAAGTTGGTACAAGTATACAATTAGGCACACCGATTATGTTGGCACTCATATTACTGTTCATAACACCAGTTTTTTTTTCTCCATCCAAGATTTTTGGCTAAAAAAATCACGATGAGTAAATGGATGATCGTACACCAAAAAAAAAAAAAAAAAACAAATTGCAGTTTGGGGTGAAGGGAGTTGGTGCTACACTGTACAATTGTATAATTGTGTCCATCTACAGTTTGTTGTTTTAACCCTTTGTGTGTGTGTTTGTGTAATTGTACAAGCATTAGTAACGTTTTTTTTTTTTTTTTTTTTTTTTTCTTTCTTTTATTTATTGCTTCTAAAAGTGTGTATGTGTGCAATTAAAAAAATAAATGTCAATGTTTTTAGTTCGTTTTCAAGCACTGACTATGTCAAAGTACATATTGGTGGGCCGGTGGCGAATATAATAATATCATACAGCTGATTTTTTGTGTTTTTATAAATATGTTTGTATTTAAAAATATATGCACACGTGGTACTTGTAACATTGGGAACATACATTCATTAATCATATGATAAATAGTCATTCATTCGTGCGATTTTAGAGACCAACGAAAAGCATGATGTCTTCTTTCAAGTTGCTTTGAAGCTTATTTCACTCTTTCAGATTATTTGCTTACGTCAATCACGCATATCATTTGGATTATGTACATACATATACGTAGACACCTAATACAGACAAAACGACGGTATATAAAATCTGTAAAAGTTACGATGAACTGTAACAAGACTTGACACGCTTACGTCACTTTTTGTTTTATACTTTTTATCAAGACTCATCAAGTACAAAAGTTTCATCGTCGCTCTTCAAAATTTTTAAATACCCATTCATTCACGCTTACTTCTTCTCCTAAGTATGGTATATATCATTAATCATGCATTAAATGTGCTTTTCCTCAGTTTGCCACATCATACAAACACATTACACGCACAATAAAATGTAGTTTATTTTGCCTTTTTGTATGATAATGGTACACACAAGTTATTCATTTCAAAATTAGAGCGCGAATGTCATGTAGATGCCATCCCATACGTAATTAAATGTTTCAGTTGCAAAAATTATATATCACTACACGTGTGTTCTCGTACCTAGGTATGTATAATTAATGTATTACGTCACAATGTATGAATTTTATTTTATTTTTTTTAATCGTATACTACATTTACTTTCCTTCTTTCAAAGGATGTGTGTACATCCGGAAACGTTGTCACCGACATTCGAACCCTATCAAGCATCGTTCGCAGCTTCCGGGATTTCACTTTTGGTTCGCCTTTGCAACGAAATCGCGCGAAAAAACATTGGAAACGAAAGCACGGGCCAATTGATTTAACAATTTCGATAAAGCAATAGCCATATTAAACAAACAAACAAACAAACGACTCATTCTCTCTTTGTCTGTCACTGACTCTCGATGCTGTTCTTCGCATGCAAGAGAGCTCGACGAGTCAAAGGAAGGCCCAAGCCGCCCCTAAAGCAGCCGCGAACCCGTGTTTGCAGGTGATCGCGACCCTCGTCGTCATAAGTTACAGCACGCCCATGTTCATATCCGTGATAGTGCCTATTGGTCTAGTCTACTACTTCATCCAGCGCTTCTACGTCGCGACGTCGCGCCAATTGAAGAGGCTCGAGTCGGTCTCGAGGTCGCCGATTTACTCGCACTTTGGCGAGTCCGTCACCGGGGCTCAGATCATTCGGGCCTACGGAGTCCAGGACAGATTCGTCAACGAGTCCGAGAGCAGGGTTGACTTCAACCAAGTTTGCTACTACCCGAGCATCATTGCAAACAGGTATACTTTTTCTTTTTCTTTTTTTTTTTTTAATTCGAGCCAAATACATTCCATTGCAGGGTTTACAGTCAAAATTTGTTTCCCTCGACGATTACAAACACAATTTGGAACAAGCCCTCACAGCTTTAAGTGTGGCTGAAAAGTGTGAAATTTGATTTTAAAACATTTTCAAGTTTACCGATTTAATTTCACGTTTCAACTCTACTTTGTGAAACTTCCATGCAGTGGTGAGAAATTTATGACTCGTCGACTCCCCCCCCCCCGGTCCAGAGGCTACAAACTTCGCGTGAAATTTATTTCAGTGAATGATGATTATATTTTCCGATCAAATGTAATTTTCAGGTGGCTGGCTGTGAGACTAGAAATGGTGGGGAACCTGATAATCTTCTTCTCCGCGCTCTTTGCCGTGCTCGACAAGGACACGATGAGCGCCGGCCTCGTCGGTCTCTCGATTAGTTATGCCCTGCAAGTACGTACACACTATTTACTGCCTACAATAATAACACACCTAAATTTCAACGACATTAAATTGCTTTGCTCATTCGTTTCCACATTTAGATAACGCAAACGCTCAACTGGCTGGTACGTATGACGTCGGATGTCGAGACAAACATAGTCGCCGTTGAGAGGATAAAGGAGTACAGTGAGACGTCCCAGGAGGCGCCCTGGGAGATACCCGATCAGGACCCACCGAAGGATTGGCCTATGCGCGGTAGCGTCGAGTTCCACGATTACAAGGTCCGCTATAGAGATGGCCTCGATCTGGTGCTCAATGGACTGAGCTTCAGCGTCGATGGAGGCGAGAAGATTGGCATAGTTGGTAGAACCGGGGCTGGAAAGTCCTCGCTCACGCTCGCCCTTTTCCGTATCATTGAAGCCGCGTACGGTAAAATCGTCATCGATGAGGTCGACATATCAAAGCTGGGACTGCACACCCTGAGATCGAGGCTGACAATCATACCCCAGGACCCGGTGCTCTTCTCCGGCAGTCTGAGGCTCAATCTCGATCCGTTCAACAAGTGCTCGGACGACGATATTTGGAGGGCCCTGGAGCATGCCCATCTCAAGGATTTTGTCAAAGGTACTTTATTTTTTTTCCTTTCTTGTATTTTTCATTCTAAATTGTATTTTTAAATTATATTTAAAATTCGATTCAATATCACGTTGAAGTTTATGAATCATTTGGGGGCTAAAACCGTGTTTGAATAAAAATAATTTTCGCAGGTTTGCCAAATACTTTGACGCATGAGGTGACCGAAGGTGGAGACAACTTGAGTGTCGGTCAGAGGCAATTAATGTGTCTAGCAAGAGCGTTGCTGAGGAAAACTAAAGTCTTGATTTTGGACGAAGCGACTGCGGCCGTAGATCTAGAAACCGACGACCTCATCCAAAGGACAATCCGAGAAGAGTTTAAAGATTGCACTGTTCTTACCATAGCTCATAGGCTTAACACCATTCTTGATTCAGATAGGTAAGATTGTCTATCCTCGCTTTAGAAAATTCAATGTTTATTGTACAACTTTTTTTTTCTTCTGTCATTCCGCAGGGTCATTGTCTTAGATAAGGGCTCAATTATCGAATTCGATTCGCCCGATAATTTGCTGCAAAAACAAGACAGCGCTTTCTACAGCATGGCTAAGGATGCAGGCTTAACTTTATCATAAGAGCGTACCCATATAAGTATATTGTCAATTAAAATATTAAAAACCAAAGCTTGCCCGGGAACTTCCCCAAGGTAGCCAAAATGTTGTATATTATCTGATTCTATTTCATTCTGCCGAATTATTAATTATCAATCAAAAAAAAGAGCTGGTTAAAAAATAGGTTTGCTTGTAATATACGTAGGCAAAATTAAATCAAGTCACTTTTAATACTGCCAATTTAAACACGTTGTAATATCGTTACATTGATGCGAATCTTGATGAATTCCATATCTAAGGATAGATCATCTAATTAATCAATCGATATTACATAACTATTTTAGTTTTATAACTCAAGTTGAACCTTTTCAAATGTCTAATTAGATTAATTTTTAATTAAAATTAATTATTATAAGTTGGAATTCATAAAATAGTTTTACGGTAGTAGTATTATACATTTAAATATGGAAAGACATTAATTTTTACATTTCATTCTTTATTATAACATGTTACTTGTATTAAATTTTTAATAAAACTACTACACTTCTTAGGCACTCGATAGTTTTTTCATACTATTAACTATATTTTGTACATAAGATATGATAAAAAAATACTTTAATACCCTTAGCATTGGACCTACAAATACGTGGTACTTAAGTTGACTTAATTTTGTTTCATGACATCAAAAAAACATTAAAGCCTTAAATGACTATAAAAAATTCTTCTGTTACTTAATGATGAATGAAACAAAGCTCTGAAATAAAAGCATCTATTTTATTTTATACATTCGTTATACTGCACAACTTCGACAACAAACTAAAACTATTATTTAAGTTGCCCAAATTTATTTGCGAAGATTACTTTACTATCAATAATAACAATTTCAATTAGATAAGTTATAGACCACAAGTGTTTTTTTTTTATTAAATGCAAACAAATTCTCGTTAAAAAAAAAAGTTGCTACTCAACGTTATGTACATACATTGCATTACGTCGTCTAATTTTATGTATTGTGTAAAGAAACGAATGACGATGAAAATCATAGGAATTACTTCGGGAAAAATTAAAGGAAAATGAACTATTTCGAATGTATAACAGTGACACTAAGTGTAATAAATTCCATTCGGAATTTTAGTGATGGTTCAAGAAACGTTCAAACTACTGAAATTCACTTGGAAAACTGTAACAAAAGGACTCGCATCTACTTCGCTCGTAATAATTCAATAGTACATAAGCGTAACGTCTATAATCCTGCACTGTACATTTTCTCATGATAAAAAGAACGTTTAAATTTTAAGACATTCATGATGAATTATACAATACTTAAGAGAAACATGTAAGCAATCGATTAATCATCAAGTTTAAAGATATAATAATTAGTATTATGAAATAAAGAATAAAAAATGTCATACTTTTATAATTAATGCTTCCAAGTTTAAACGTTGGTATGACGGACAATTTTTAATGTACTAAAACACTATAAGATAGCAGAAATCTTATTTTCATTGTGAAAAAACTACTAAAATTCAAATGACTACGAAATGTTACGAAAGAGCGAGCATTTGAGAAAAGTCAGATGTATACATATGCATACATTACATAGAATAAGAATAAGGATTACATACACATGGGATAAGTGCCTTTTTGTAAAAGTGACACGAATGCTAGATATTTATGATGTCTTCATGGTGCTGTGTTGCATATTGCATACAACCGAAAAAACAAGAGCTTGAACTAAAGAATTAATTGACCAGAAAAAAAGTCAGCCATTTTTCATTAAGTATGGAATAACTCTTGAACCACACATTCCTTACGTGTTATCACTTGTCATTTTTGCGGCCTGACACGTACACACATGTTCTTTGCAAATTTTTGTGACTTTTTACCCTCATTGATGATAAAATAATAATGATAATATTATTTTAAATTATACGTAGTATATATAAATCGTTGAATAAAAAAACTTAAAGGTGTAATAGAGAGTGCTTTGTTTTATTTTTTTCTTATCCTGTTAGATAACAAAGCAACTTGTATTACGACCGAGAGTATTTTAAAATATTTATTACTTGAAGAAAAAAAAATAAATTTGAATTAAAGTTGAATTGAACTACAAGTTTTTATTATTATTTCCCTTGTCATCCCTTTCGTAACATTTGTAATATTTCGAATAAAATTTATGCAACAATGTAGGTTGTTCTATTACATTCATGTTAAACTAACGAAGTAGATATTTTTTCGCAACTTACTGTTGCAAAAGAAATATTTAGTAAAAGAAACAGTTATGAAAGTTTAAAAGAATACATATTTTTTGTTCTGGGCGTGATCGGGCTTCGTCGGCGGCCTTCGTTCTTGTAGTGTCTTGTACCAATTCTGGTAATGAGAGCACAGTGTAAGATATACGTAAAGTTATGTGTAGTTATTATATAGTAATCATTACTAAGTAGTGCCATATGGTCGATTTTATTAAACCAGTAGCCGTACCTTATAACTCTCCTATGTTTTAACATAGGCCCGCAAAGCGAAGAAAAGTTATATGGTACGGTCCCAGTAGAATATCTATACTTTTTGAGGTCGATTTTCGTATTTAAGATAAATTATAAAACTTGCCGCAAATAACACAGTCAACGTCAACTTTTTAATTTATATCTACAAGATTAGTTGCGGCTGGTTTATAATTGATTACATGACTCTACTGTAAGTTGTAGTAATTATTTGGGTCAGCGCCATCTAGCGGTATTTTTTTTTCGCCAAAAGTGGCCTCTAAAATTCTGAGTCGATGCTTTAGGGCTTAGAGCCATTTAGTCAATTATAAACCAGCCGCAACTCATTTGGTAGCTATAAAATGAAAAAATAACAATACATGTGTTTTTGGCGGCAATATAACAATCTATCTTTTACTCGAAAATTTACCTTCAAAAATAGAAATACATAGGAAGCCAATTTTTGGTAAAAGATAGATTGTTAACTTGCCGCCAAAAACACATGTATTGTTATTTTTTCATTTTATAGCTACAAAATGAGTTGCGGCTGGTTTGTAATTGGCTAAATAGCTCTAAGCGCTAAAGCACCGACTCAGAATTTTAGAGGCCACTTTTGGCGAAAAAAAAATACCGCTAGATGGCGCTGATCTAAATAATTATTACTAATACTTATAGTAGAGCCATTTAGTCAATTATAAACCAGCCGCAACTAATTTNATTGGCTAAATGGCTCTAAGCGCTAAAGCACCGACTCAGAATTTTAGAGGCCACTTTTGGCGAAAAAAAAATACCGCTAGATGGCGCTGATCTAAATAATTATTACTAATACTTATAGTAGAGCTATTTAGTCAATTATAAACCAGCCGCAACTAATATTGTAGATACAAAATAAAAAGTTGTCGTTGGCTGTGCTGTTTGAGGCAAGTTTACAATTTATCTTCGTAATTTGTAATCGTAATTTACGTTCACATCGTCTTAAATGCAAACTCGCCTGTAAAATCCTTGAGCTCAGCTGTGTCTTCCATCAGTCCAGGTAGTCTTCTGCTCTCGGCGAGGAGCCGAAGTAGGATACTGTATAAGAATAATCATCACATTATTTATTTAGGTACTCGTAAAACAAATCGTCCTTCACCCGAAAAGATGAGTGGCCAGGAGGAAAATCCGGACATTCAGTGGGCGATTGACTTACTGACCCCGGGTCCCGACTACGAACTCAGTCTCATCTCCAAGTACTTTAATTACATTGCCTTCGGTGCTACCGGTCAGATCGGCGTCATCACTCAAAAACTTTTCAGTCGAAGACCCCTACTTTCAGGTGAGTGTTCTGATGTCTTGGTGTTGTCAAACTGATTAATGGATACAACGATCTAAAGGAGCTTTGATGACCTCTTGCGAATTTTTAGATTTGTTCAAGCCCCTTTTGGTTCGGTTCGGTTCTCTTAACAAAATATACCTATATAGAGGGAACCAAACAGAACTGGTTCTGTATATATAGGTATATTTTGTTAAGAGAACCGAACCGAACCAAAAGGGGCTTAAACGAACCTTTTATTTTCGTTCATGTCAGTGCAGAGTTAAGCTTTTGATTATGCAACGATGCTTAGCGCGTGGTAGGACGCTACTCTTGGTTGTTTCCTATACATCAAGCGAGAACACCAACAAAACAATCGGCTGTAAATTTCGTTTTTTGGGCTATCTGTCCATCTGCACCTAATACGGAATGTTGAATGACGCTTGGTGCAACAATATTTCCATATACTTTTCTTTGAATAGAATTTGTTTGAGAAATCACATTGTTTCTTTTTTATCACATTGTCAAAGTTTCGAACTTTTAACGCTTAAAAATCCAGTGTACAATTTCTCCTGTACACTTTTCATCTTCACCAATGTGTTAAGTAGTGTTGTATGTTATGAAATTCAGTGTTTGTCTAATCAATGAAAATACATCTTTATATTTATTTGATGAACAACTTTCAGGCTTACACATATACCCAATAGTATTTGTACTGACAATGGGTGTTGCTCATGTGACTAAAATTATGAAAAACAGAAGAGAAGGTTTGAGAGATGCCATTTTAAAAGATTATATTAGGAAATTTCCAGACGATTTTAAACCACCTGGTAATGACAGCAAAATAATTCTTATATGGCAAATGCTCTTGTTTCATTGGTGTAATTGAGTGAATTTTTGTGTTTTCAGTAAAAAGAACATGGAACGATCTTTTCCATCCATGGACTCCATGGCGTTGAAGTTTTGGTTAATTGGATTATTAAGTAGATTCTCTGTTAATTAACTTATTTGATATATAACAATTATAAATAATAAGTTAAAGTAAAAAGAAATAATAAATTGCAATAATTTGGAATAAATACTTTATTTTTATTCATTTATAAATATACTATGTTTTGTACACCTGACTTTGTATTTATTTTACTCCTAGTTGACAAATGTAAATAGACGTTAGCGCTCAGTTGAATAAAATGGGAAAGAAAGAAAAGAATATTTATGTTTTATAAAAATTAAATTAAAAGCAATATTGTAGTTTTGTTTTCAAATTGTATTTCAGACATTTCACATAAACAGTCATTTATATTACAACTGTAGGCCATTTTATAAATCTTTAACATTATATTCGAATATTGTTTTAATTAAAAAATTCAACATTTATCGAAATTTAAAGCCATTTGTGATTTAAATTTACACAATCATACTCCTTGATAGTTTACAATATACACATGCATGTGCGCAATGTTTTGTTTGAGACTTACATTGTAAATTATTTAATATTTAAAAATCTAAAAACTAAAATGACACAGTCATCTTATACGTTCTGTTGCAACATTAAAAACAGTTGCTTACATTTGGTTGTACATTACATACGTAGAGCTTTTTTTTATTAACAAGAATATTTTCTTTTTTACAACTAACAATTATATTTGTTTCTCATGATGTATGATGACGCCATTAAATCACAAATTGTAAAACAGTCATAATCAAATGTTTAAAATCAATAATGTAAATCAATTTAAAGTATTTGTAATATGTATAATATGCAGTAGCTAATGTAGTACACATATATACATAGTGCAAATTAAGTTATTTGCAATTTGCTTTTTGTTACAATGACAATAACGTTACACCCAGGGTTCCATTCGAAACATCTAGGAAGACATTTAGGCATACTGCTCGTTCAAAGTTAGATTTTGGTGTAAAAATTTATTTTTACTTTGACAGAGCTCTCCATACTTTCTAGGATTGACCGTTTGAATTTGAGAAAGTACCGTATCGATTTGTCCTTTTTTATCAATCTTTTACAGACTCAGATTACCCGTTTTAGAGATAGCGTGCATCGGCCATTGCGAAATACCTCTCTATTATATCTTGCGCAAAAAATATTTCTCCCGCAATGACGACGTTTAATCCCACTTTGCAAAAGATTTGTATCCATCGAGAACAACGATTGATTTGGTGAAAAATTTGAAAACATCTGTTGTTCAGTTCTGCTGTGCATTAGTCTTTTTTGCGCGTACCTCCTGGTAGCATCACGATGCATACATACGATTTATCTCATGCTGATAGCGTTCCTGAACTGCTTTTCTCTTGAGTTTAAATGCAGCAGTGACGAGGCCCATGTCAGGCGACCATGTCTCTGTTACCAGTTTTACAGCTCCCGGTACTTCAAACTTAAGCAAATTACCTGAAATAAATAGCAGTTTTTTTTTACTTGAGTCCACACTTATCATTATAATTGCAACTCGAAAAAAATACTCACATTTTTTTGAATAATCTACTAAAACATTCAAAACTAATTTTTCTATCTCTGAATTGTTACATAAATCTTCAAACGACGAGTAGGTAATTCCATGTTTTGAAGCAAGTTCTTCAAGGTGAACATGGTGGGGTACAATTAAGGCTACAGTGTAATCTTTACTAGGATCTCCATAAATACAAATATTTTCGACTAACGGACACGTTTTCAATTCAGCCTCCACCTTACCAAGGGACACGTATTCTCCCAATTGAAGTTTTACCAAGTCCTTCTTTCTATCTGTAAGATTCGAAAAGACAAAAATTAAAAAAAAATGTTATTTATTCAACTTGCAATATTACAAAAGAGCGCTACAAAGTACCAATGATTTTGATGGATCCATCTGGATGAGCTTCACCAATATCGCCCGTTCTGAACCATTGCTTGCCATCTTTGAAGAAAAAGTCCTTTGACTTTTCGGCAAGCTTGTAATAGCCAGCCGATATATTTTCTCCACCAATGACGATTTCACCTCGTGGATTTGGAACGTCCGTCACTCTGTAGCCAGCTTCTTCCCAGTTTTCTAGACAAATGTCGCAAGCTGTTGTGGGAGCACCAACTCTTCCAGTGCTTCTATCATAAGCTAAAAAGCAAAAGAATCATTATTTAAGTGTTGATTACCATCTTGACATTGTAAGTTTTAAAACTTACGGTCCATGACAGTTGCGCAGGAACAAGTTTCCGTCAACCCGTAGCCTTGAATCACAGTGACGCATAAGCACAGCTTGACTTGCGTGTGCGTTTCAGGACTCAGAGGAGCACCACCGCAAAGAATCACCCTTACGCGGCCGCCCAACACTTGCTTAGCGGCTCCAAAGATGAACTTATCACACAACGGCGTGTCGAAACCTCGCTTGGTCCATTTCAACTTATATTCATAGGCAAACTTGAAAATGGCCTGCCTAAAGGGCCCGGACTTTTTCACTTTTTCATTAATGCCCTTTGAAATCCTGTCCAAAATGAGCTGTAAAACGAATACGTCCAATTAACCGAGCGTGAAATCATGCAATCATACCGTAAAATTAAACTCACGGGCACGGCCGTTAAGCAAGTCGGATGCAAAACACTGGCGTCGCCCTTGCAGCCCTTCTGTATCTTGCTACTCGAATCGATCATCGTCAAAGGCGAGCTGTACCCAATGGGCACACCATTCAGGAGACAAACGCTCTCGGACAGGAGTTCAAAAACGTGAGCGAGGGGCAAAAAACCCATGAAAACGTCGTCGTCTCTGATATTTACGGCGTCACAGTAGGCCTTCAGGGTAGCGATGACATTCTTGTGGGACAGCAGCACGCCCTTGGGCACACCCGTCGAGCCGGAAGTGTACATGATAATAGCCGTGTCTTCTCCCTTCGGTGTCACGGACTCGGCGGTCGATGAGCTGCCACTCTTGATCACCTCTTGGAACGGAATCACGCGCACGCCTTCCTACAAAAAAAAAATTCGTTATAAAACGTCAACGTTATTGCGCGTGAAAAAAAAAAAAAAAAAAAAAAACAGCAAAAATCGCTAAACGACGATCGACGAACCTTCAAGCCCGTGACATCGGCTTGCTTGAGCTGATCCTCCATGAAAATAATGTTCTTGACTTCAGGTACTTTCCGTAATAGATTTTTAAACTTGGGCAGGAGCTCGAAACTCGTGATGACGGTGTCAACCTCGGTCTCGTTGATCCCGTGGGCGATGGCGTCGTCACCGAGGGTCGCGTATATCGTGACGACCGTGAGGTTCTGCTTGAAACAAGCGTGAGCCGCGATCATCCACTCCTCCCGCGTCTCGGCGAATATAACAATGTTCTTGCGCGCCGTCAGGCCGAGGTCCTTCAAGCCGCGACTGAAGCTGCACGCCAGCGCTTCGACCTCCTTGGAACTCTTCCATCTGTAGTCGCCCATTTTGTACTGGAACCAATTCATCAACGACACGATAACAATGAATACCGATCGTTGGATACAAAGAGAGATACAGATATGGAGAAATGGTAGGGAGAAAAAACCTTTTTGAAGATCCTGCCGTTGGGCTGGACCTCGTCCTCTTCGGCGAGGATTTGCCTGGTGCCAAGGCACTTTTTGTTACCGTGGACACTGGCCACCCATCTGAGCATTGCCTCGAGGGTCTCGATTTTTTCTCTGACGAGGGTCGCGTGCATCGAGCCGATCGGATCGACATTTCTGTACACGACGCTCTTGTCGTCGTCCCTGTGCACGGGCTTGGCTTTCACCCGGCGCGACGCCTTTTTCTTTTCCCAGGGCTTGTGCAGCAGCAGGTACACCGGATAGGTGAACAGGTCGCACACGTACGACACCGCCTTGATCGCTTGGATCGCACCGGTTATCCAGAAACTATCCATTTCTCTGGAAAATTCATTCATCGTGTTATTTTATATTCTTTTATTTTTTTTTTTTTCATCCCTTTTCGTACAGTTCTACTAGCTAATGTGACGTCAAGTATATTTTCCATCTCTCTATTATGATTTACTTTTTACAATTTTTTTTTTTTTTTCAACTCGAGAGACATATTTTACAAGTACATTCAAAATATACAGTCTAAAAACAAACTACTTGGTAGGTTGCTGTACTACGATACTAATTTTTCTCATTACAGATTACACACGCATCGGTGAGATTTCGCTTAATTAGCTTTGGAATAATTATTGTAATTGCACATATGCACGACCAGTGCAGTAATACAATTTACTGGGTTTCGAATATTGATTGTGGTATAAATTAATTTTGATGTGTTGCATTAAAAGGCTCCAGTGTATGCTACCACATGATTAAAAACACGCACAACATGCTACTAAAAGAAAAAGAAACCAACGATTTTACATTGACTACACTTACAATAAACTACAAAAATTTAATGTAAAGTTGACTCGTACGTAGAATAATCGAATGAAGGTCGAGGGCAAAATTATATACTCGACGCACTCTGCCTTAATAAGTAAAAAACAAATTGATAAAATTTTGTAAAGTTTCAATATCTCGCGTATCAAGCCAGCAAAGATAAATATTTGCACGCCAAGTTTATTTTTACGTTTCCAATAATAATTGCGTCCGTAAGTAGGCAAGTTTTATCTCAACTGTGTTTCAATTACCGAGACTCATAGTAGGTACGAGGAAACAACATCGATAATCAGCGTCGAGACGAGGCAATTAAAATTAGAAAAAAAAATAAATAAAAAAAAGCACCGACCGAGAGTCAGTAGGGAGAACAGCAAAAAAAAGCCCAGCGACGTCTCATTAATCGGGACGGGGAAAAAAAGGAGATTCGCTCGATACGATATAGAGAATTGCATTATTACGAAGAGAAAAAAAGTTAGGGGGGGGGGGGGGTAAAACGAGTTTCCCAGAAAACTTGGACACACATCGAGGCTATAAACATCTGCATATCCCACCTGCGCGTATTGACCAGCAGATTTTTTTATAGTTATCTCGTGCGCTCGAGCGGCTTTGATTCACGCGATTAAAGTACATAGATGAGATGGCGAAACCACCGAAAAATAGACCTCGGGTAGTTGCTGTTTTCTTCTCGCATACTAAGCACACCAGCGCGAGAGTACGAGAGGGACACCCGACGTAGAAATATGTACTTGTGTTACGCAACTTCACTGATACAACGGGTGACCACGATAACGTGTAGACTATATATACGTATATATACATACCTACAATTATTTACTTGTATAAGTAGTAATACCTACTCTCCCCGACTCTCCCTGTGGCCACCGCGTATACACTTTGGGATACTCTTAAAGTTCCGTAGTTGGTTCAATCGAGACATCATTATATTCTCGCGTTATCGTTTGGGTGTACTGTATATACATATGTACATACGAGCGCGATGTAACAATAATTACCGATCATTTATCGATTGTACATGCGATTGTACAATCGGTCATCGTTGTCATCTTCATTGCACACCGTACACTTATCGTTTAAAAATAAAAGCTTTTTTTACGTACGATCGATAATATACTCGGCTAGTCGAATCGGCTCCTTAATCAATTTATACGCGCGATTGTGCGTGCGTTCCACGGCTTATCGATTTAGCCGCGGATCACGTGCAATTATTCATCGGGTGCGTGAATAACAATCCCTGCCATCATGGGGACAGATGTACTCGTTTTGATTGGATAAATTCCGAAGCCGAGAGTTGTGCTTTTCAACGGTTTATAATTACTATTTTTTTAAATGCGTACCATTAGAGAGAGAGAGAGAGAGAGAGAGAGAGAGAGAGAGAGAGAGAGAGATAAAAAAAACTATATTATTAAATCAAACTGCTCTATTTTCTCACTGTTGCGTGAAAATATCCCAGTGGTCAAAGCAAGCGTCGGGGCTACACGTAACGACCTGTCGATCGGAAAAATCGTGTGTATGTGTAGTAACGCCACACTACACCACTTTTATACTTAATCGCGAAAGAGTAGCGAGCACTTATATTTACTTATGTAATACAATACAGGTTTATTTTGCCATGAGGTTGTAAACACGTATACATCAAATGCATTTCTGCGTTTCTTATGTATCCGACAAAATTACCTGGAATTTATATGCATATAATGTCGGCCACCGGTGACTTTAATTTAAATTGATATGTTGAGGGGGATGTAGAAATTATTGAACGAATTTATGATACCTTTCTCAGCTCTGACTTTTCACGGCCATCGGTATTGTTACACGTACAAATTTTATCGCTCACGGGTTTCAATGTATCAAATCAATTAATTACAGCAATATTGATAAACTAGATTTTTTTTTTTTTTTTTTTTTTTTCCAAAACTCATCTATAAATGAAACAAACAAAATTGTCAATAACTTTACTTGTATCATGAATTGAAATTGTAAAAAAGTGCCCCAAGTGACTGCACGTGAACTACTTCATTTTTTTTTTCTCTTAAAACGCTTGTCTCTCTCAAAGCTCTGTTCTGCACTTTTCATGTCTCCGACAATTGGATGAAGAATGTGTAAGAACACTTGTCTTGTCAAATAAAAGATAAGTCCCGTTATCGAACATTCAACTTACTTGTTGCATGTACTTTTACTGATCAACCAACGTGATTTTACTTATCATCTTATTATAATTAGCGAAGAGTACATTTTTTTTACCCATCAATGCTTTACACATCCACGCAATTAATCGCGTCTGGCTTATTTTTTTTTCTTTTTGTTTTTTTCTCTATTACAACAAAAAAAAATTAAAGTTTTACGTCTGCGACAGATAAGTACTTTATGGAGCGACTGCTTCCAGTTATGTGTCAAGATAATGAACGATGATTCAGTTTAAATCGTGTACTATATGTATTGCACGTACTTGCACTGAAGAATAATTTTATGGTTCTTTTTTTTTTTTTCTGTTAAAATTCTGTAATCAGATCTATAAGATTGTATAATTATGAAGAAATAAAGTGGCACTTTAACATGTTTTATCAATTAGATTCTTTATGCTACGTTTTCCAACACTTGAATTATTGGGCTTTGTGCAACAGACATTCCTATATACCCTATTTTTCAATCTATACAATTCAAGGTCTCGATTCGTCTATCGCAATCAATCAAATTTGAAGGTATTACATCGCCGCGCTACAAGGTTCATCCTCGAGTTTCGCAAGAGCATTGGCTGCAGAATTTCACGGTAACACCAAATATCGATTCAACTTGCTTTCGGTTGTACAACAGAAAAAAAAAAAAAAAGAAAAAAAAAAATTGTTTTTCTGCAGCTCTGTCTCACTAAAAAAATCATCCTTGTTACGCAAGCCCGAGGCGAGCGCACGGTAATGATTTTCTTTCCATAAAACTAGAAACAAAAAACACACCGATATGCATCGCAGTAACACGAGAAGAGCTTCCAAAGAAAAAAAGAAAATCCAGAATCTCATCCAAGTGTATCGTGATGCGTGTTGTTTCAAGCGCAAAACCAGTTGACATGGTGATATACATGTATACATCTTGGAGCAGAATCGCGAGCAGCTGTGCTCCTTCAGAGTCCACGGGGCGTTTTCTTATGTAATACGTAACAAGGCATCGTACCGACTACCGTTCGTATAAAATTAATATCGCTACGGGCAAGGAGAATGATGTATTGGTCGACACGCACGGATAAAAAAGAATAAATAAAATAAAATCTTGCGGGCTTTACGGCCCCATCGTATTCTCGTTTGGTTTAAGTATTATACGAGATAAAAAAAAAAAAAAAAAAAAAAAGTACGCAGAGTGGGTATCGAGATGTAATTTTTGGAATATTTTCGGTGTCCAAACGCACACTCGAGATTTGATTTTGCGAGCACCGCCTTTGCCAATTCGGTATCATCTGGGCTTTTATCGCAAGCGTTTGGCTTGGATTTTATCGGAGTTTTGGGTAATACGGTAATCATTACAAATTGAATCCTCACAAGTGTATAACGTTGTATGCCTATTTAATTTTAGTCAACTAATTTTTCTTCTTCTGTGTTATAAATAAATAAATTCATGGTTTTGACAAAGTAACGTGGATTTTTACACGTGTGCCGGAGCAATGTTTACAGCGGGGTAGAGGCTAAATCTTTACGTTGTCTACGAATAAAAAAAAAATTAAAAAAAAATGTGGAACTTACTATCTACAAAATCATCTAAAAAAATGTATCTACGTCGTGCGGGCATGCAGTCATCATTTATAATGGAGAACCTGTTATTATGTAACAAGATTATAGGGTACAAAAAAGAAAAGAGAAGAAAAAAATCTACGTGTGCAAAAAGAGAGAGAGAGAGAGATAAACAAAAGCGTGCAACAAAACGCTTACACTTAAAATGTTAAATCTGTTATGTCGGTAACTCACTTCTTGTCATCGACAATCATGGTGTTGGCTGTTATATTATGCGTTTAGTCCGAAACCACTTTTATTTTATCTAACAACTTGATTTTTTTTTTCCTCGGTTACAAACTGCAAGAAAGACCCAGGTGATATTGGTTTTTTGTGCAATTTAATGTTAATATGATTATTTTTTTCAATGTCAGTTATCATCATTACAACCATTGTTAGTATATAATATGCATATATAAAACATGTTAGGTGATTACTGTACAAAATGTTATTATACATCAAAAAAATTTAAGATATTGTATACTTGAATTAGCACAAAGGGATGTGCGTTGTTAGTATTGCAGTTAGTAGCTCTTGTTGGCAAGTTATTTATATTTGGTTGAAAAATCTCGTCGCAACAAGATAAAAGTTGGTGTTTTAGTTGAATATGGGAGTTTGGTAGAGTTCCTGATGTGACGACGATTAATTTGAAACTGGAGCAGATAAAAAAAATTGACCATCCATAGTGTATGATTAATATTGCTGCATATCAATGACTCGTGTTATGATTGAAATATTCAATTATGTAACACTCAGATAAGCTAAGGATTTTTGACCTTTTTAAAAGATACACACATACTATATCTACGTATCGAAAGAAAACAAATCTCGCGCAGCGAAAGAGGCTGTACGAATGTATTCAACATTGGAGCTAAAACGATGTCACGAAGAATAATTTTTCACCTCGAAAAAAATTGTACTCAATGCCTCTCATGATTCAAGAATTACTATCCACATGGAAAACGAAGCAATTAAAATAATAGTGTATATAAATAAATAAATAAATAAAACCCTGGCAAAAGTCAAAGGTGTATCGGCACATGTATAAGGTACAGTCGAGTACAATGAATGATCATCAGTTAGATCAATCGAGCTTCACGGCCACATACTTCATAATATGGCATATGTATCTGTGTACAAAGAAAGAACGAGAGAGAGAGAGACCAAAATACCCATTCGCACTTCAAACTGTTAATTATACAGTCAAATGAAGCGAGAAGCAATGCCACACACACACTGTGCCATTGAATGTACTTATTACTTGATGTAGGAGGTACTATATTAAATCGACGGTGCGAACTCGATAAGGCAAGACCGAGGGCAAGACTACTAATGACTCTCTGTAAGAAACGACGAGGGGAGGAAATATCGAGTTACTTTGTACGCAAACGCTATTCCCTGCTATATGATATTGACTTCAACATTCCGATAGCCCCGTATTATCGAGATGACGATAAGGAAATTTTATATTATATAACCGTTAGGAAAAAAAAAAAAAAAAAAAAAAGGTACAGCGGTATCACCTGTAGACCTTGTGCATCTATTTTGTTCTTCTTATCACCGACCCAATTGTATAGATTCAACGAGTTTATCAGTATAACGCATTGTAACGCGCACGTAGCATCAAACGAGACACATACCTATATATTACATACAAGTATTTTTAGTTGTAAGGAATTATGCAACTCGTGCGGCGCGCGCACTTATAATCAGAACGTCATGTACAGTGAGTATAACTATGTTGTGAGTAATTCCTCCTCTCGATTTCCGCATTGCGTTGCCAATGAAATTTCTTTGTACCAACAACAGAGCACGCATTTTTTGGTCCATGTATCTACGTGTAGTACACTCGCCCTGAGAACCCAAACAGCCACCACCGTGAGACCCACCGTGAAAACCATATGCGTGTCCACGTCATCGTCTCGCTTCGAGTTAATTCAATGAAGATAGCACAAAGGAAGATTCGTGGACAAGCTTGGGTGGGGGTATCGGCTTTACGTAATGCGCGACAACGCGAAAGTGAAACTCCATTCACGGATGAAAAGAAAACAAGAAAAAAAAAGAAAAAAAAATCCGAAAGTATAATATATGTAGCGATGGTTCTGCTGCTCTCGATTGGAGGACACTGGGTACGGGCTTTTTCCCTTTGAATTCAGGTGTAGCCTCTTTCGAGAAAAAAAAAAAAAAAAAAAAAAAAAAAAAAAAAAAAAAAAAAAAGGTTCAAATATATTTGCGAAAAAGGAAGAATATCAGCGCATAATAATACGAGGCAGACAATACCTATGTGTATGATGATATACATGAAATAAAACGCGTGTGCCACGGGTCGACCGGCTACTGAGCGGCCCAGACATCATCACGTTTCGCCTTACGGGCTTGTGCCCCGTAGCAGCCCCGTTTTGCGTGCACGGCTGCGTATATTATATTGTATCTCTCGAGGAGTGGTATCAGCAACAAGTGCAACAACCGAAGACGAGGGAAAAAAAAAAATATATAAGAAACGCAACTTTCAACTCTCTCAGTAACTTGCTGTTTTTGCGAGCACACGACTGTAATCTTCGATCTTTGATCCGAATAGCAAACGGCGCCGGGAGACTTTTGGGGATTTATGTAATTTTTTTTTGTTGATAAAACGTATACTTGTATAATATAATATATATGTAAGTGGGCGTTCGGCGACGAGTTTCTTTTTCCTGTAATTGGATAATAAACCACTGCGAACCGGGACCACTTTTGTTTATTTTTTTCTTAACGAAAGAAGAAAGAAGATTTTGTTTCGTTTATTTTTTATTCTTTTTTTGTTCAGCGACACGTGGAGGAAAAAGAATAAGCGACGACTTGAAGGGGGTGCATGGGAGTTTGTTGATTCGATATATAATCAATTAACTATAACAACGGGTATTGCAATAAAAACTAGGCTAATTTGCAAAAGTTTATCCATGTGGTGTAGAATGAAAAAGTTGATCCGTTGTCTCCGCAACGGTGCGGGAAAGAAAGGGGATGACATGCATTATTATTGTCTCGTTGGTTCGTCATGATCGAATATCGGAAAAAACCGTTACAAGTAAGCGCTACGTTGTTAGTCACGCGTATTTTTGTATTCATTTACGTATCATGAAACTGATAAAATGAGAGCATTGATTTCGACTCGTGCCAAGCGGAAGATATACTAGACGCCTATTAAATGACTTCGTAACGATCCGAAAACTCCCGGAAGTAAAAAATTTGAAAAATTTACTCGATGCGCGCGACGCTGCCGATGCGTCACCGAACGCGCGTCTTGTACACGTAATCTCTCACCAGATGATGATGATCAAAACACAACAATAACGAGGCACGCGCGACCGATGCACATTTTGCAGTCTCGGTAAGAGACATTATTTATTGCGCGTACGTAGCCTTGATACAATACTTTTTTTACACGAAACTCGGGGTTATTGGTAATCCGTGCCGTTTGTTACATAAAACGCGTATCATGAAAATAAAATAACTAACACCTGATGTGTCTCTATTACGCAAGTATCGTAAACAAATTAAAAAATTACTTGGGTGTAATCTGCTATTGTTATTATTTTACACTTACATGCACATCTCGATTGACTCTCCGGACTCCGAGCAGGTCGGTCTGATTCAATGCTCATTCAACGGCGACTCACTCGGGGCGAAGGGGACGGGTTACACTCTCTCATCCACGTTTCAGTTTACACGTACCACTGTAGCTTTAGTCCGCGTCACGCACGTCTCTCTTACTATCTAATAATATGTATACCATTTACCATGTGGGTATTGTAAGTTAAAACTTGTAGATGTTGTATACGACGTTACAGATCAGTCATTCATAAGTGTACATGAGGGTTTTCATGTGGGCGCTCTGTCGTGACATTGACGGTAATTGAAGAGAGTCCTTTTTGTAATACATGCAAATTCAAAGAATACAGGGTGTACTGCTGTATACTTAGAGTTTCTGTTAAGTATAGGGACGTTTAACGGATAGTGGGCAATGATTCATTAATCAATCGACAAATAAGATTCGTGTGAATAAAAAAATAAGAGGAAAGATCATTCGACATTACTATACGTATACATTGTGAACTAGAGAAAATCTTTTGAGCCAAGTTTGCGCACATACTGTGACGTATGCGACGACGAATCTGTATATACCCTACCTGTTTAAAGGACATTTTGGAGGTTAGATCAATCAAACGAGACACACACTTTTCGATAGATGGAAGAAAGAACAATTACTGTAAAGACGAGGACTAGAGAATTTTTTCACCCAAATATTTATAAACACATTCACTTATATTTATAGCCAAAGTGCGTGATCGATTCTTAGAATGTATATACTTATTGAGGGACTTTCCACAGTAAACAGCAAAAGCATAATGTTACGTGTTATTTTATTTACCTTTCAGGCGATAATTGTTTCCATATTTTTGTGCGTCAACGCTTTTATTGTGCAGTATTTTACGAAATTCTCCGTGTTTCGGTCTCGACGAAATAACACTTGAAATCAACAAGTCAGTCGATGTACCTTTTACACTTAAAAAATATAACAACAAATAAGTAAATGAGAGAGCAACATCACTTGGAACTTGGAACTCCAGCAGCAGACAAGCGCGTGTTTCTGCTTTGAGCTTTCTGCTCTGCCGTCTAAAAGACTAGCGCACTGCACGCGCGGGGACATCTGTATGCAGTATATATATGTGTATGGAGCCGAACGTGCAAGGGAGAGAAGAGAGAAACACCAAGGTTAATCTTGCCATCCTCGTCGCTCTCCTCCACCTCGATATATATTATATAGTTATATTTAAATTTAAGGTATACCATTTACCCATGTATACCCGCACCCACACACATGTACGCACCATCTCATACATGGACCTATATACATATACATCGCGGCGTTATATTTACTTACATTAAATAGGTGTACTTACATTTATATCGCGACATTTGCAAAAAGGTTGTACTCCTAACCTTACCTCGCGAATTTCATCGACTACCACGACCGCGAACTCAAGTCCTGTACCTACAGCTGAATTGTTCTAAATCCCTAGAATAAACGTATGGTGTTAAGCAAACAATAATCATGGTTTGTTGCTACAAATCAATCAATATATGATCAATGTGTTGTAAGTATAAGTAAAATTTGTTAATTACGTACGTAAAAATAAGGATCAATTAGCGAAACTCAAGGAAGTAGTAAAAATAGCGTTGATTGAACACATTAATCACTGGTCAATTGTAATATTCTTATAACAAAATACATTCTTTTTTTATCATTTAACAATACGTGGCAATAACTTTCCTCGTTAATCAAGTGATGTATGTGTTTAATTATTTTATTTAACGAATTCACTAAGAACTAAAATTTAGATTAAGTATAGGAAAACTATTTGGTCAATTTTTCTAACCACTGCCAACCGTCGCACGTGTTGTCACACACCAAGGATACACCTAATGATACGATGAATTTGTCCTTTAACGTGTGTGTACACAGGAAGGTAAGTACCTATCTATGCTTGTCCATCACGTAAAAAAGGAGCGGCAGTGGAGGCGGGGTGCGCCGATGAAAAGGGGGCGAAGAAAAAACAGTGAGTAAGCATGAAAATATATACCTATCTGTATATATATATATATATATATATATATAGAGGCGTCTGATGATGGCCTGAAATGAGAGAAAAAAAAGTGACAGGATCACCACGTGGCCCGAACTTAAAGAGCAGGCGCGCTCGGCTCACGCGATATCCGAGAGAGACGAGAAATGCACACTGCACACACGGTGTACGTACACATATATGCGATTGGCAAATACATATTAAAAGGAATAGAGACGGAGAGGGGCAAAACGGCGCAAAAGGACCTACTTTATACTTGTACACCTATATATACCTGTATATGTTTTTTCCCACGCGATGATCATCAGACGACTCGCTCGAATACCCTTATATTCCCCAGGCACAGGAAATAAAAGGACGACCTCGTTTAATCCCAACATACGCTTTCATCTGCGTAACGTACAAAATGTAACTGTATAACTGACGAAGAAGAGTTTATATTTCAGAAGAGAGAAAAAAAAGTCGAAACGAAGAGCAGATAATACGTATAGGAGGTACTGCAAGGTTTATAAATATACGCGACTGTGCTTCGCGAAGCAAGGTTGGCACATATAGAAAAGCACAGTAGTTTGGCGGTGGTAAATAATGTACTTGAATAGGTACGCGCTCATCTCGCCCTTCCTGGCGATCTCTCATACTTATTGGCACTATACTGTGAATAATCAATTGAATCGAGTATAAAGGATAATTGGTATACGTACTCAATATTTGCCAGTCGAATAATCCCACAGCTATTATGATGTATGCAGTCCTAATGATCGTACGATGCGTTAGCGGTTCCTGTGCCGCTGTCGTTGCAGTTCATCTCTCTCTGCAACTTTAAAATGGCAATTACACTGGTTCAGAAGGACCGCGCAATTATGGAATTCGGTGCCTGTTGAACTTTGCGAAAACTATTACGCGGTGGGTATAATTGTGTACTTGACAATGTATAACAAAGAGCAATTTTTTATTACTGTCCACAGTCCACGCGCGTTGACGGCTGCTGCATGACTGTGGGCCGCAGTCGAGGCCGCGAAGGTTTGCTTTTATTATTCTCCTGCGTTCGTTCAACGTGCGCCCGCGCGCTGCTCGCGCCCCGCAGTGGGTACCACCACCACCACCTACATAGGTATTATTACGGTACAATACTACAATATATACGTGAACGTGATGTGTAATACACGTATGCGGTGCAATAACGTCACTCGTATCGCAGAAAAAAAACGCCTCTCTCTCTCTCTATGCAAGTACTTTTATATATATTTTTATACTTGGACAACTTGTTCAATTTCAATGTTAATAAGATATCTCGGTTCGTATATGTGTTTGCACACCCATGTTCAAAAGGGTTTTCGTTATACTTGACTAGTATTGAGTACGGCTGTGAATAAGTTATTTTTTTACAAAGATGCAGGCATTCGCATTGCATAAAGCACGTAATGTCGTTCTTCAGAAATCATCCATACACTCGACAGATGGATGTTCGTTTTATTTTTATATTTTTCATTGTACCGAGCACATGACTTTCGATCGTTAAATTTCGCAATGATGGAACAAAATGATAAAAATCGTTGTAAATTATCTTAAAATTTTGCACATTATCGATTCAAAATTTTGGCCACTGGGTTAAAATTTTTTTATGTGTTACATTCCAGATTAATCGGCTCTTATCGGTAAAAATCGGTGAGGTCGAAACTTTGTTATTCGCCTATCGAGATAACAGATTCGGTATTGAATTCAAACAAAGATGTGACACGAGTAGGTACGTGAATCTCAGAACAAGTGATGCAATCTATTGCAAGGCCAGAAATCTATTTTATTATGATTAATGACGATTGAGTTACACGTCTTTTAAAACGACTGTTACGTCGAGCTTTGGAACAAAAATTCTCATTTCGAAACCTCATGTCAGTATGACTCTACAGTCATTATTGTCGAAGTTTTTATTGACATTTTCACGCAAATCGATTAATGCCGATTAGATTGGTACTCATTGGTTGTTTGTCAATTAATATGTCTTCTATCTATTAACTCCTCACAGATCTGCTCTTTCCAACGAATTAAGTTTGTTTTTCTTTAAAAAATAATCGAATTCTACATTGCTTTACGAGGTTTTATCTAATAATCTGCACTTCGTCACCAACTATTGATATCAGTTATTGTATTTTTGAAAATCGACAAAGTCCTAAGTATAAAAATTCATTATTTGAGAATATTTTTAAAATATCATCGTTATTTTCATCCGTATATTTCTCGATAGAATATAAATCTATGAAAGTTATTCCATGCATTTCAAGGTGGATCTAATGAACGAAAAAAAAAATTTTATTGGCATCGACAAGGATCCGATACGTTTTTATCTCATACTCTGAATTTTCAAAAAAAAAAGAAGATGAATAAAAACTTGTTATATTACAACTGCTGTAAATATTATATCCACGCTCGGTCGTTAGCTAACATTGGCATGATTCATTTTACACTTTGAAAATTGTTACAATCCAAGTAGTAATAATAGGATACTATGACATTTTAATATCGAACCAAGGCCAATCAAACGATAAAAAATACAAGATGAAAAACATTCGCGTTCTCGAGAACGCAAAACGTCCCACCACGTGGAGTAAACGTGCGAAAAACTGTCTCACCGCCTTATAGACGGAACTAATTTAGCAACCAATCACGCGTGCAACGAGATCAATGCGCATTTCTTCGTCGACTCCAAAGTTCGTCGTCATCGACAAGAAAACGTTTTTTTTGGTTCTCTAGAGCACTCGCAAAAAGACGTGAAGAAAAAAAGAAACTCAACGCGCCGAGTTCCTCGGCAAGTGCAGGCATGTGCTGCACGCGAGTATTTTCGTCCTAAAGTGTCGTCGTCCAGGCGCTCTAGGTGGCGAATCCGAGAGGCCGCCGGTCACTTCTATTTTTTCTCTCCGTGTGGTTCGGTCAAAGATAACGCGTGCTGTCCAAAACAGTGAGGAAAAGGAAAAACGAAAAGCGTCCGTCTAGCCGGGGCGAGAATTTACAGGCCGTGCACACACGATAGCCGTTGTTTCCCGGTTCGCGAGACGTCTTTTTGGATTCGCGACAACGGCCGCCTCACTCGGCACCGACCAATCGCAGCTGAGATGACTCGGGTGGGAGCAGTGGCGTGATCCGAGATCCGAACGAGGATACGCCGGCGTGCCTTTCCCCCGTGCCCCTCTGGCCTTGGGTGTCTTTTCTCTCGCTTCCTCCTGGCACGCACCTGTGCTTATGTAGGTACACGCTATGCTTACTCTGTGCGAGCCAATAGAGGAACAATCAATAAATTTTCACGAGAGCGCAGAGGCCGCCTTTACGTGGACATATCCAAGCGCGTTAACTGGTCGACGACCCACGCAGCTAAGTCGTCGTTTGCGTTGTTTGTTGTTGTTGATCTTATGGTGTATTTGTGAGTTACTCAATCATGATACATGATGTCGAGTGCGTTTCGGTGCAATACTGAGCAATGCAGCCTATGGTTTTTTCGTGTTTAATCATTGGGTGGATATTTCTATGCGCAGATGAAATATTTTCAAACACCGTTTCTTCATTATGAATGATAAATTTTTTTTTTATTATTCATGTTTCATAACTTATTTTGTAAATTAAAAATAAATATTAATATATAAAACTGCCTTTTGATCACAATTTTACAAAGAAAATCCATTGCTTTCATACATATAATACACATTAATGTATGTATACACAAACAACCGAACTGTTGCATCGACGAGATGCTTTGTAGAAAAGGGACGAGAAAATTTCGCAAAAATGTTAGTCTAAGAGTTTGATAGTTTATAAAAAAATGGACTTTTAACTTTTGTAGAAATATTAAAAGTTTGTTGTTTTATATGCAACTTTTCAAGACATTTTGGAAGATCTCGAAAATACAATCATTTTTCTTTTTGTAGCCAACAATTGGTATTACCATTTAAAAAAAATTATATAAAATTAATCTTAAAAGTTAAGTATACAAGAGGGACACTAGGGAACTATAATATAATATTCTTTGATTCTATGGTCTATACAATCTTCTCACTTATGTCCATTTAACATAACACGGTTTTGAGTCTTTTATCACGAAAACTCATGAGCTTATCGTGTATAAAAAAAAATTATAAAGTTCAAGACCTTTTTAGGCGTGAGTTTGATCATCTTCTACAAAATCGTACGCCTCTTCTCTCGTTACGCACTCCACATGAGAAACTTTGTTTCTAAATTTCACGCCATAAAATTTGTTTGCATGCTGCAATAACTCTGGTCTGTAGAATAAAAAAAAAAAAAAATATATTATTTCAAAAAATTTTCATCAAAGTCATGCGTGAGTTAGCTCTCTTGTTTACCTGAATGTAGTTGTGATGAACTGAGCTTCGGAGCTTAATTCATGAATCATATCAGCTACTGCTTTTCTGTGTTGAGCATCGAGAGCCTGATCGATTTCGTCAAATAAATAAAACGGCGCTGGATCGCACTTTTGAATGGCAAAAATGTTGGCCAATGCAACAAGTGACTTTTGCCCTCCTGACAACTGATTCATTTCTCTCATTTCGCCCTTGTGTCCCGTAAACGAGACTCTAATGCCTACAAGCAAGCCAAAAAAACATAGAGATCATATAAATCTTTAAAAGTTGACATAGAAATGTAATTATGAACTTACCAACACCAATGAACCTATCAGAATCAGCAGTTTCAGATACAGAGTCACCGTTATCTTCACCATCGGCAGTTTTCATTACTAATTGCGCGTGACCCGAGGGAACGAGCTTTTTAAAGACTTCAGAAAAGTATTTACTGACCTACAATGATTTGTGAATATTTCACATAAATTTTCTTTTCTTACCAAATAGATTTTCGATTGAATGTACATTTATTACCTGTTTGAAGGTAAACTGAATAGCTTCACACTTTCTTTGCTCAAGAACCAACATTAGTTCCTTAATTTTTTCATCAGCCCTATCAAGTTCTTCTTTTCTCTTTACTAATTTTTCTTTCTGCTCGCTAAACGAGGTGAACTGATCCAAAGCTTTTTTATTGACGTGACTAAACATAAGACGAATCAAAATTAATTTAAAGAATATTTGAAGTTTTAAATTTTCGTATGATTTACCTGTATTTCTTCAGATGACCGTTTGCTTCTTCCATTTTCTTGAATAACTGTTTCGTTGACATATTACTGAACTTTGAATAGGATTCTTTATTGGGAAGTGCACCGAGTTCAGTAATTTTATGTGTCAATTCAGATATTTTTTGTTGTAACATATTCATTTTGCTAGCTAATTTCTCAAAGTCCTTGGCATCGGAATCCATTTTTTCTTGTGCTTCTTTTTCTATGGCTTTCCACTTTTCTACCTCTAAAGCCTCGGTTTTTTGCTGAAAAAAAATAAATAAATAAATAAATAAAAAATGAAAAATTATCAGTGAGCTAATTAAAACCTTTTGCGCTTATATAATTGAAAAAGTATGTACCTTTTTGTTAGAAGCAGTCACTTTCTCATTTTGCATCTTAAATTCGGCTTGATTTTTTAATAATCTTTTTTCAATGTCTGTTAGTAGGGTCTTTGACGTCTCCAACTGTCGCTTTCGATCTTCTACAGAAATTTCTTGTAGAGCTTGAACTAATTCGTCTTTTCTACGAATAAGATTATTTGTTAATAAGTTTTCCAACTTATTTTTCTCTGCTTCCAATTTCATTCTCTTCACGAAAGCCTCCTTATTCTCCTTCGTCAGACGCCTGATTGCATCGTTCAATTGATCAACTTGATGTTGATCAGCTACCGAAAGCTGCTCCATTAAATCTTGGTGAAGTTCACTTTCCAAACCTTCCTTTGTAGCAAACATTGTTTCCAAGCTCGATTTGCATTGCTGTAAACTTTTCTCTTTCGGTAACTTACTTCTTTCAATAGCACTTAGCTCTTCCTTCATAATACGAATCTCACCTTTCATTTTGTCATAAATGTCCCTGTAAAAATTAAAAATTGAAATTACAAAAATCACTAAAATTTATGAATGCGATTTTTACCTTGCTTTGCTGTTTTTGGTCTCAGTTCTTTGCATCTCACTCACATAAGAACTGATTTCACGGTCAGCGTTTCTAATTTCTTCTTTCAGAGTACTTAACTGTGATTCCAAAGCATTTATTTGAGCTATTAGCTCTGATCGATTTTTTTGAATTTCCAACCGTGATCGCAAAGTGTTGAAGTACCCTCCCGTTAACGAACCTTTAGAGGATACCTGATCTCCCTCCAAGGTGACACAGTCCAATCCAGATGTGCGTGCCAAGCTCGTGGCAGCCTCCAAATTCCGGCAAATAAGAGTTTTTCCAAAAATATACCTCATAGCTTTATCGTATTTCTCATCGTAATTTAATTTCGAAATCATCGGAATGGCATCTGAAGTTTGTGGATATTCAATATTTCTGACATGTAGGCGGTTCAGTGGCATGAAAGTTACTTCACCGGGTAGTCGCTGATTGTTCATTTCCTTCAAGATTTTTGTACCAAATTTATCGCTTTCCACAATGTGATGGAAAAGACGATTACCAGCCGTAACTTCAACAGCCATGTACACGCTTTTTTCGCAATCAAAGTTCTCTATGACTGGACCATAATAACAATTGACTTCTTTGGCCATGTCGGGACGTTGCCTAAATGTCTCGAGTACCTTACGAACGCTGTCTCTGCCGTTAAGAATAGGTTTGCCAGCCATCGATCTCAAGCTTTGATCAGCTTTTGCTAAATCTTCTTTTAATCCAGACAGTTGAAGCTGAAGAATACTTTCTTGTCGGTATTGGTCCTTACGTTTAGCTTGACTTTGATCTTTTGCCTTGTTGTAATCATAATACTGTTTATTATGCTCATCAATTGAACATTTCTGTCGTTCCATTTCTCTCGTGTCATCTTGAATTTTCTTCTCCAGAGTTACGCGTTTTTCTTCGTCTCTCTTAAGATCTTCGGTAATTTTCTTTTGATGTTCTTCTTTATCCTTTATTTGTTTATTCAGCTGCTTCAATTCTTGCTTTATCCAGTTGTCCCTTTCTTCCTTCGTGGTGAACTGACTTCCTCTACCCTGCTTAGCGTACAGTTCCTTGCGTTTTTGCTCTTTCAAAGCTAATTCTCTCGATATTTCCTCTTCTTTACGCTTTATCTCTTCATATTGCGGCTTTATGTTTTCCAACTCAATTTCTTTTGCAGCAATTTGATTTTTTAGTTTATCCAACTCCTCCTCGGCTCGTTTGCGACTATCACTGTCTCCCTTAACTTCTTCCATCAAATCATTGATTGTAAGAGTAAGTTTTGTTTTCTCTTTCAAAAGTTGCTGCTGCTCAGCACTGAGCGTATCACGTTCTTCTTTAGCAGTTTGTGCTTCTTTCTTAGCTTCTTTGTGCCTCTTTGTTGCTTGTTTAACTTTTTCTTGAGCAGTTTTTACTTCAGAAGTTAAATTTGCTTGCTCTTGACCGCTCCTTGCACGGGAAGCTTCCAATTCCTCTAGCTTACGTTTGTTTTCTTTCAACTCGCGTTCATGTATGATGTACTCCAAACTTCGACGTTGCTTGTCCCATTTTTGATACTCCTTCAATTCTTCTTTTTCTTCGCTCAAAGTTTGCAATCTCTCCTCTAAAAAATATAAATTCTCATCGCACATATCTTAAACGGTTTCAATATTTTATCCATACCTATCGTCCGAAGAAAATCTTGAATTTTTTCTATTTTCCCTTCAGTTTCTTTTAGAATAGCTTTTGATTCCTCACGTCTTTCATCATAAACTCTTGTTCCAGCAACTTCTCTTAGTAATTTTAACCTCTGAGAATCAGGTGCTGTAGCCATTTGATTAATCTAAAATAAAATAAAGTTTTTAAATAACATTTGAATCGAAATTGTATTTATCTCGTACACACATCTTACCTTTCCCTGTTTGACGATGTAGTAAGGATTAGACCTAGAAAATCCAGCAGACTCCAAAAGATTCATTACATCGCTCCTAGTTACTATTTTTTTATTAAGAAAATATTGGTCCTTTTTAGAACCAATGACTCTTCTCAAGTACACTTCATCTTTGTCGATCTAAGAATAAACAAAAAAAAATGATATAATTAATGAAAGGAAAACTTGGAAAATTGTTTACGTCGTTTTAACTTACAGGTAACCTTCCATCAGAATTATCAAAAATGATTTCAACGTGAGCAGAAATCACCCTGGGTCCAGTACCTTCATGCAGCAGTGCTTGACGCTGCTCTGGACGAAGGTGAGAGAACTCATCGCTCAGTACAAACTGTATAGCGTAGAAAAAGTTACTTTTTCCAGATCCATTTCGACCAACTGTTAAAATCAAAGTCAATGAATATAAATGCTTTTTGAACAGATGTAAAGAATAAATAGTTTATATCTCACCAACTACATTGTGTCTTGGATCAAATGGATCTACAACGGTTTGCTCCCTGTAAGACTTGAAACCTTGAATAATAACCTGAAAAGATAATTCAAAATAATTTGTCTGTCAAAAAGACATTTAATTTTGACTTCACTTTTTAGAGTAAACATCTTTCATAGGTTAGGTTCCCGCGAAAAAGTTGACAAATTCCAGATTCGATTGTGCAATGAGTAAATAAAAAAGACAGATTACTAGCTGTAAGAAATAACTTGCGCTTTCAACGCAAATACATTTAATACGAATTATTCAATCGGATCGAGAAATAACGATAGAAAGGAAGAGAAAAAAATACAATCACAGCTCTGTAGTTGAAACAGTTAAGGTTCGTTGCTATACCTACGTATTGAAATTATTCCACTAACAAAAGTTTCGCGAGTAAGTACCCAGTTATTAATGAAAAACGCGATACTAGTTCGAAGGAGACGCGCAAAAAAATACAAGTAGCGAATAGCTGTAAAAAGAAGTGAGCACTTAAACGTCACATTGTACTTCATCGGACGTCAACATCGGGCATTAGCGGAAAAAGTTTCAAATACTCGGCAGACTCACCTGTTTAATGAACATGTTGAATGAATTTTCATCTAATCACACAAACATCTTGAAGAGCACATGCACCAGGTACTGCCCGAGTACCTATCAAGTTGTCTAAAAAAAGTATTTACAAAGTGTCGAGGGTACGTTCCTCGATGGGGTACATTCGCTAGGTATTTATTATGCTGCAGAAACGAAACGACGCCGCCATTCGCTTCCGTGCAAATGCATACTGCAGCTTCCTAGAGAATTCCTAACTTTCCCACGGAAAAGCCAGTGCTGACAACAGTGCCAACGCACTCGAATATAAACACTATATAGAAGATCCTCCACTAGGGCGGGGTGCAGCCGCGATGTTGCAGCATACAAAAAAAGCGCCACCAAATTTAGGCGGGAAACTGTTGTTGAAACTTGAAAAACACGAATTCTGGTATTCTGGATGCGCGTTGATTCTAGGAAAGTGATGGCTTCAGTGTAGACTAGTCTGGTAGTGGAGCCATGCGCATCTTGACAAGAGCCGAGAAGCGGGTTATTTTCGAGTGCGGTAAGTACGGAAAATGCATGCGTCAGTAACATATCTTTCATCGTGTACTTCAGAAATTATTTCGTTAAACAAGTTTATTCAAATGTGCACTTCACAATTTTTTGATTTTGCATGTTATGTATGTACTATAGATGCAGAGAAGAAGCCGATCTACGTCGAGGGTGACAGTGCTGAAATTGCTTAATCGAGGATGACAGCCTACAAGAACCATCCTGGTGTTACTTAGTTACTGCGTCAAGGTAAAATGTTTTTTCATTAACTTTTGTTAGTGTTTTTGCGACCGTTACGTTTTTGTATATAACCTATACATGCATCTGCAAGAATCACAGTATCTCCCAAAGGCCAAATGCCAAGATGTACTTTGCTTTTGTGGATGTGTTGAACATTAATTATATAAGTTCCTTTTTTCCTTTATAGTGATACTTGAGAAGCTAACATGAAATAAAACAGGGGCAAATAATGGAATAATGATTAAAAAACTCATGAATGCCAAAAGACGTTTTAGTCGTTAGATTTATTTACTAAACTCTTTTTATACATTAATTTAAAAAAATATTGTGTAAGGAAGCAATTTTCAAACTTATTTTCACAAATACAAACCTATATCTCTCTCTCCTGCTCTCTCGTACTCCTTTTTACAAAAATTTTTTTATTAAAACTAACATTTTGTGTATAGATTGATAATACGGATTGAATTATTACTTTCTTGTTCTTGGTAGAAATTTAGATAATTTCCTTATTGTTATTTAAAGTCTTTCAAAAACGTGATTCACGCAACAGCAAATTTTCTTATAGTCTAACATTATGTCGAATTTATTTCTTTATCGCTCAATGATTCATTGTAATTTTAATTCATCTAAAAAATTAAAAAATTAAAAAACAAGTTTCAATATCATAGATATCATAGTTTGAAAGAATCAATCAACTTATTTATAAGTCCACGTTAAATTGTACTGCCTAGATCGATTGATTAAGTCAATTAGTTCAGTACCTATAAGTGTATTAGAACAATCAATAACAATTTCATAAAATATTTTTCTTTGAAAATAAGAAAAACTTTTCATAAATGCTCAGCTTTATACTTTTCAATGTGACTAATATTCTGTCACTTAGGCAGAGTATTTTTCAAATTAGCATACATTCCACTCGAAATTTTCTAATAATTAATATTGCGGTTTAGTTTGAGTCACTTCGAATTCTGTCTTGGCTTTCTTCTTTTTTATCTGAGCCCAAGTATCCATGAAGACACCAAACTGTTGCAGCAGACCTTAAAATATCAAAATGCATTTAATTCTCAAAAATAAAACTTGATCATGAGTTTTTCTTCAACAATACTAACTTGAAACATTTTGGCGGCATATTATACACTTGGTATTGCAACGTGAGTGCCAAAATCAAACTCCACGTCCTTAGAGGGCACAAAATAGTTGCAAACGTTCCATAGGCCAACCAGAAGAAAAATATCATGATCAATTGCAGTGTAACCAATAGTGCAAATGGCAGATGTTCCCATAATTTCCGCAAAATACTGGTAGACTTTCTACAGGGTTTTTCCAAATACTCCAATCTGCAATATTACAAGTAACGCTCAGCTGTGAGCAAGCAAAACAAAAAAAAATCATGTAGCTTCGTGCTATTCTGATTGATTAAATGATCTCACCGTTTAGAAGCACGATGTGCCACAATCAGTGTTAATGGTAGATGAAAGGAAAGTAGTTGCAAGAAACCGTAGGCATAAGTAAAAGATTCTGGAAGAAATGAGTTTCCAACGTATGTGCCCCATGCAAACACAACTCCTGTATGATTGTCAATGATTTCTCCAATTACCCATGGCCCTATTTTAACAAAAATTAATCTCTATTACATGGTGGCCCATCAAGTTTAAAAAAAACGCATGTTAAAGTAATTTAATTTGAAAATATACATAGTTTAAGACTAGTAATTTCGTGACATGATACATAGGCTTGTCGTTAACTTACCAACGAGTAAATATATAGCGTACAAAACGAGGGGATAAAACAGCCTGTCGACAGTCGATAATACCCAATGGCTCTTCAACCACCATTGCAACAATTTAAGACGAATCCTGGGTGGTCCGCTATTTTTGCCATATATTACTTTGACAGGGAAAAAAAAAACCAAGTTTTTGCACATTGATCTTTAAAACTGTATAGCACAACAAAGACTTTGTTCATCATACTTACGGTGATAAATGTTGTGGTAGGCGCGCAAGCTACACAAGGGTAAAACTAGTAGGACAAACAATACTGCAAACAGTATCTGAAACTGAATCAACAGAGAAAAAAATTATAGGCGGTGTGGTTAGCGAGTAAAAAGTAGCAAACATTGTAAAGTATATTGCAAGTACATTGGATACTCGTATGTACTTGATTGTTTTATTTTCATTTCTAGCAGATCCAACTTACGATGCGGGTAACATTTGACATGAGTATGATCCTCGGCAGAACACCAAAGGCCAGTCTGCTCCCATCCAAGGAAAATGCATGTTTTACGACTCTCTCCCTCCCATCAACGTCTATAACTTGTAACTGCAACACAATACAGTACGTCGATAAATATATTATATCTTGCGCCGAATGGACGCAGAGAGTAGAGAATTATTCGCTAATTAAACTTTTCTTTTTCTTTTTTCTTACCTCAACGTAATGAATGCCAGTCTTGTACTCTGAGGAATTCCACTTTGCAGCGTACAGAGGTCCCTCGACGCGACCACACTCGGTCCAATTTTGGCCATCCACGCGCACCTTCACCGATTTGATATCGACAATCGAGAAGGCCAGAGCTCTGGAAACATGTTCACGGTTCACGTAAGTATCATTTTTCATTATATCCCTGTATGTTTATCTTGAAAAAATATCAAGTAAATAATAAAAGAAGTGACTCGAGGAAAACAACTGATGGAGATAGAAAGAAAAACTAAAATAAAAGAAAAAGAGTTTTACCTGATGTGAGTGGAGTCGACGATAGATTGTAGGTTCTCCTTACGGGGTATTGCAAATTGCGCGTTCTTTGGATTAGTGATTACGGCAACCGGCCACTCGCGATGCCCGATGTCCACGAACGAAAATTGGCCATGGTCAATGACGCCTAGTCTATACCTGCGTGTGCCACCATAAACAAAAAAACAAAACAGGGAGACACACGTGCGCCCGTTAATTGGCTGACTCTCGTAAAAGGCATAACGAAAACTCGTATTTTTCTTTTTTTCCATTAGCTGGATGTTGTATTGATTTTTGTTAAAATTAATTCATGCGTCAGGGAAAAGCGTTACTGTACAGTAGATTCAATTCTATCGCGTTAGTTTATGTTGACGTGCATGCAGTTTTCAGCCCAGGGAAAAAATAATCCGTACAGATAGGCATGCTCGCGTGCATAGTCCCGAAATTATGTAAGGCCCCGAAAAATTTGCATCGTATGTAAATTAGATCTTTTTTTTTCTACGACGATTCAGTGCGTACGTAGATAAAGCTTGTCCTTGCTCTAGCAGAGGAGAAAATGGGGGGAGAGAAGAAAAACAAAAAAAAAAAAAAAAAAAAGAGAAAAAGAAGCAGGCGATAAGTAACGACTGTGTCCTGTTGAGTGGTACCGCATTTAGAAAGTGACATCTCATATACTGTATGATAATACTGTGTGCTGCATTTGCCGCATGCACGTGAGCTTATTTCGATCTCATTACTATTCAAGCGCACGGGTACCTAAGTCTTTTTAAAAAAATATTCAAAGCGCACGTGTTTTTTGCGTCCAAGATATGTGTAAATGTAGACAGTGGTATTAAGTATATGTAGGAGTAGTGCAGGGATTGAGAGATAGTAAAAAGAGGTAAACGTGGCGCTTACATTCTATTATCCTTCCAATCAGCCAACTCCAGCTCGAGAAAGCCAGCCTGTTGTAAGCTGTACATGTTAGGCACCATGCCACCAAGCGTGTGAAAGTGACCGCATAAATACATCATACTTTCTTCATATTTACCTACATATTTCGCACAATACAGAGCATCATGAGTACAGGTATACACGCGTATAATTATGTCAAGTCTATCTTTTTTCTTTCTTTTTTTTTTTTTTCATATCAATTTATACATTACTCGCTGCATATTATACAAGGAGTGATGAAAAAATTACGATTGAAATCGAGTTGAAAGTCACAAACGTACAGTGCTTCCGGTGCACGCGTGTATAAGCAAAGACTCGAGACTCCCTAACTAATACGTATGCGAGCAAGGGATTGAAATAAAAAAAAAAAAAAAAAAAAAAAAAAAAAAAAAAAAAAAAACATGTATCCTCCAGTACCGTTAATCGCTTATACCATTTTATCGGGGAAAAAAGGAAAAGAGAAAAAAAAAAATTGCGTTCGTACCAATGATTGCCCTGACACCACCCTCGTTCGGCGCGACAATGCACGCCGTGGGGTAGTGCCCGAACCACACGATGTTCTCCGAGTGACTCTGCCTAGAGGCGTTGACCATCCGGTCGATCCTGTCTATTTCGAGCTGGTCCAGCGCACCGACAAAGTTGAAGGGCCTCTTGGGGCCCGGCTCGAGGCACGCGTCCACCGCCACGAAGCTGTAAAGCCCCGAGCCGACGCGCACCTGGTGCATGTAGGAGCGCGGGTGCTTGCTCCCCTGCACCGAGTAGTTGGCGAAGTAGTTCTCCTTCGAGTGCACGTCGAACACGTTGAAGTTGTCTGAAAGCCCGAAAATACACGTGGGTTTTAACGGGCTACAGCCCGAGTCGATTGTGCTCACGTTGCTCTACACGTTCAAATGTATATACGACGTAAATGTAATACATTAAGCATGTATAATATGACACGCGCGAGGTGTGTCCGAGTATACAATATGTATAGGGTAACCCCCGATTGTCGTCCGGCATCAGTCGAATATTATTTTTACTGCCTCGACGCGCTCGGCTCGTTGGTTCGTGTCTACATTTTAATTTTGGATAAATCCTTTTTGCCATTTTTCTTGCAAAGTACGGTCTCTCGCAAATAGTTGTATTTATCTCGTAAACAAGTCTTTATTTTTTACTCGTAGAGCGAAAAAATGTATCGCTCGGAGAAACGAGGTGAAAAAAAGTTCTTTCTTTTCATCATCAACGCGCGGGGGACAGACAAAAACAAAGGAGTTTACGAGGCTAACTGGGAACTAATTAACGAGAGACATGTATGTTGTACGCGCGTGGCGCCCTTACCGTGATTGCCTCTTACGTCGAGCCATGTCGTTTTTTCCGTAACCCTCGTGTCCTCGAGAACTTTTTTGTAGTGCTCCCACTCTGCCAAAAATTGCCTCGAGCCTATCCTGTCCGATGTTCTCGCGTCCGTCAGGTCACCTACATATGTATCATTTCACAATGTTCAATCCATTTTTACAAATTGCCATTCAGTATCCATTTAGTATATCTAATATAGGCACAACTTGCACGATGCGTATTTATTTAAAGAGTCTAGTAAGAAAAAAAAATGTACGTATGCATCCCAAATCCACATGGAAATTGAAAAAAATTAATCCACCAAAAAAAAGCTTTTGATCGGCAAACAATCGCTACTTTCGACAAAAGCTCGTGTGTACAGGTAGTGGGTGTATTTAAAAAATTGAGGGGAAAAAAAAAATTGTTTTCGAGCACACACATCTATTATTGTGTCATGTACAACAGCACACGTGTAACAAAACACTAAGAAGTATTAAAAAAAAAATAATAATAACACATTACCGGATGCAAGAACAACTGGAGGTTTTATCGAACCAACAGTAATATCACAAAACTCTTTGAATTCCGTTATTCTAAGTGGATCCCGAAAAATGCTTATGTGTAAGTCTGTTATCTAAAGGGAAGAAGAAAAAAAATGGTAAATGAAAAGATTGCATTATATTGGCATTGAGTATAGTCACAAAAATCAAAGGATCGCTCGGAGAAAAACAAAGAAAAAAATAGGATCGAGAGCCAACTCACTTGTAGAAACCACAGGAGGTGATCGGAGGAGTCGCCGATTTCGTATTTCCTCGGCGTGGACGACTCCGCGTCGAGGCTGCCCTTGACATTGACGGCTTTGTCGAAGGCGTGCGAATCGACGTCGATGATATTGGCGACGTTGGCGACGAAAATCGACAGTATTAGGACGAGCATAAGAACGGCCAGTGTCAAATTTGCGACAATTTTCATTTTTTTTTTTTTTTCTTTTTTTGGGCTGCACCTACACACGCGCCTCATCGCCGGCCACCTAAATATTCACATGATGCATCAAATTTAATAATTGAAATTTCAGTGGCTTTTTATTATAATAAATTACTTAAATATCGACGGGTACAACGGACCACCGCTGCCGATGAATATAACCGAACGCAATGTTAAAAATTGTTACAAAAATTATCGCGCACCGTCTCCCCCAGCATCATAATTATCTCGAAAAGGTTGGACTCTTTGAGTCACACGAATGCCATCGAAAGCGTGTTTGTACATATTTATTATTTTTGTGCAAAAGTCGAAAAGCCCTTGGAAATTACTCGCGCTGCCAAACCATAAACGCGTACTTGATGCTCGTTAAAAAAAAAAAATTAAAAAATAAACACCCTCCCTTTTTTTCCTTGTGGGGAAACGAAACACCCAATCATATCAAGATTCAAACCCTCTTTCTCCCTATACGGGTAACTGTCAAGGAGGTAAATATATGTGCTTTGTATCGAAAAATGCAAGTTTCCACGGCGCTCGTTTGAATTGCCAAGCAAACGTACAACATTCCAGTCACACGATGGGCAGCGCAGGTTTGAAACATTATTTTTAAACCGCAACAATGTTGGGCTATCGATTCGTGCATCCTCGAGCGGTCAAAAACGTACACTTGTATACTTATACTCTCACGTACACACTAAACAGTTTTTTTATTTTTTTATTTTTATTTTCACGCAAATGGCCAAATACTTGAATGCTCCACGTCAAATCAAAGGATACATTATAATCGCTCATGATCATTATTATCATCAACATCGCGCCATATACCTACCCAGTGCTTATATCCCGCGCTCGTGTAACATCATTGATCATCGACGCGTTTTGTTAACACGCATCACCCACGCTTCAGCCTATTGTATAAATATATAGTATAGGTATACATTATCCATGTATACATATATGAAAGACACAGAGGATCAGGTTATGTTTTAATCAACAAAAGCACACGCCAAAGTATAGGAGGGAGGGGGTAAGAATGGTGTATATAAATATGTGCTCCCTATATAATATATAAAACTCTTTGCAGGGTGTATGTTGATGTTGTATACATATGTGCATCCCTTAAAAAGATAACAAGTATTGGGCACGTATATAATTATACCTGTAGGTGTGGTAATTGTGTAAGCGGCTTACCTGGCCGAGACTAGCTTTGAGGGTGTAGTAAGCGTCGAAGGTTACGAAAGCAACTGCAGAAACATCGGTGTAAGGTGATGGCAATCGAAGCCGAAATTCTCTTGATGCTTCGCTCCCGGATAAATTCTCGTACGCGCAGCGCACACGGGGAAAACGCACGCTCATCATTTCACACGAGAGCTCAAGTAGAAGCGGAGCGCCGTTTACTTGTCTCTCGGCAGTTTATAAACTATCGTTATCAGCGAGAGGGAAAGAAGATGAAGAAAAAAAAAAAAATAAAATAAAATAAAGAAAGAAAAAAAAGCTCTTAAAGTCGAGTGTTTTAGTCATACGCGCGTACAAGTGCGTCCCAATGCAGTACTGGCCCTCGGTCCTTTGGCGATGACGAGCGTCCGCCAGTAAGTAGCGCGCCTGGGAAAGCCAGACCTTGGGCGAAATGCGCAGGCTTCCACCGACGAGACATATTGTACCTTATACTAGGCCCTACACACATCCGCCCACGCTCTCTTTTCTTCTCGCGAGGTATACGCGCATGCGGCGCGTCGATGATGTGCCTTGCACACACTGATCTAAACTTACTTTGGTGTATGTTGTTTGGTTCTGTTGCTTTGAGCAGTTTATAGCAGAGGGAACATCGCCATCTTGCCCGAACAGCTGATTTCGTCACACACGCCGAGTGTGTATTTTCCTTTTTGTATATGCGAGGAATTACGTGAAAAGTCACACTTTGTAGGTGCACTCGAACTGGCGTATTACTACTACTTATTTGATTTTTTTTTTCTCAGCATACAGGCAGGTCAAAAACCCTACAAGTTTTTTGAGCAAAGCCGGAAAACATTATTATAATCTTTAGTTATGGAATATTTAATGAAAGCTCACTGTTCTATGTAACTTGCCAAAAATGACTCAACTTGATTAAAAACCAGTGCTTTTTTTTCAAAAGACGTACCTCGTATTTAAAAAATAATAATTTCGTTACTTCACATGAAATTAGTCAAGCATATTATTTTAGTACAAAATCACAAGGAATTAGTTACATTTATTAAACTTTGAAAATTCAAGAATTTGAAAAATACGCTTTAATCGCTTTATAATGTTCTATGTTGACAATGTTTTTCTCAACTCAACGAGTCTTATTGGGCAATTCTTTATTTTACACACGTTTAATTTACAAACAGATAACGTGCATGCTTTATTTTCTTTACCTTATCGCTCGTGTTGCGAGTTACTTTTTTATTTTTTATTTTTTTTATTTTTTTTTTTTTATTCAGTCTCGTACGTGATTCTGTGCAGGAATGTATATACCATTGGTTATCTATACATTAAATTTTTTTTCATGCCATTCGTCTAACTGTAAAGTATTTGACATGCCTTGTATTTTCAAAGAAAAACGTCACAAAACGTCATACGAAATTTTCAAAGTGGTTAAAAATGAAAATTAAATTGATTTTATTCTCACCACAAGACGAACAATTTTTTGTAGAATGCCTCGTATACGTATAGGTATTATCGAACAGGCCACCAGCATCTGTGTGTTTGTTCCAATAGCTTCGTCTTTGTCTGACAAACTCTGGTAGTACACCTACACCGTCCGTTCTAATCTGCAGCTAACATCAGAAATGCGATCGACGGAGAGATCGTTCACTGCGCATTTGACGACTGCAAAGAACAGAAAGAGTATACGTAACTTGCGAATATAATTTTCTTTTTTTTTTTTACGCGTGCTAGTGTTGATATTGATGGAAAAAGTAGATCAGTAAGTGCCTATACCATAACTCTTATTCAAAAAAATTATCGCGGTCTTTTTACCTTGGACTCATAATGGCTTTGGTGTTTTTTTTTCTTCAACAACAACTTGTCAATATCATCACGCTATAGCTCAACCCTCACTTTCGTCGTGTCAATAATTTGATATTTTTCCTCCCTCGCTCGCGACTTATTGCGCATCGAGGAAAAAAAGTAAAATGTAGACGAGGCTTTAATTGCCATCGCAAAGTAAAACCGCGTACTTTTTAACACGAGGGCATTAAAATACACCACTGTTACCGAAATGAACTTACAATAATGGCCCCCAAAATTATCTTCGCATTTTTTAATGATCATTTTCAAATCGTAAGTACCTAATTTCTTTTTGCTCCTAACGAATTCATGTATTTTTGTTTGTGTTATTTTTGTACACATACGTGTAGCGATTGCTATATTTTATCGCATCAATTCGCTTTCAATATTTTTTATTATTATTCTTTTTTTTAATTTTATTTTATTGAAAAAGATATTGATACGTGCTGTTGAAACGATTGGATCGCCATAATTGATTTTTTATGATGCCTCGAAGCATGCATTAATCACAAATATCAATTTAAGCCGTTTTTATGGGATACGTATAATAAATTTTTTATTGATACTTTCGATTTGAATATAAAATGGCACTGTCAGCGCGTGAGATAAATGATGTATCTCGAAACTGAATGCAGAATTTTTTTCGAGCACGTATCGATGATTTTATGCGTATTGTTGTATACTTTGTTGGATAAATTCGAAACAGGATGCGAATATCTGGAGATTGCGGACAAAATAAAACTTTGTTCAACCTTCAAACTCATCCGTTCACTTTAGCCAATGGTCTTCTTTCTTGATTTTTTGTCAGAACTATGCAACTATTTCCTTGTGAATAATACACGATGACAATAACCAATGTTGTACACACATATGCGAGCTCCAGGAATGAAAATTAAAAAAAAAATAGCATCACTTTCGATTGACGATTCATTATTATACAGTCTGTCGAAATCGCAATATTATCGGTAGTAGGTATGTATGTATTTCGTTGCATTGCACATTGAAGTTTTATTCGACGTGTTTTACCAGATAATGTTCGTTTTGGCGCTCGGCGGGACGACGAGTGCGTGTTGCAATCGTTTTCTCGTAATGTGCATGCATCGAGAGATGAAAAAAAAAAAACAAAAAAACAACAAAATTTATTTAAATTCCTGCATAACGCGTGGTTAACTGAACTAGTTTTGCTTGCATATCTTGTGCGCACACAGTTTCGTATTAAAAATTCATTTGAAAATAGGTATCATGAAAAAAAGGTCACTTTTTATTTCTTTGCTATAAATACACGGATTAGCTGTAATTAAACCATATAGGCTCAGATGTAATAAAAAAAAAAAAAAAAAAAAANATGATTCATCTCAGAATCATAAAAATTTAAGCGATCGGTAAGAAATAGTCTTGATCTCTGTATATGCTTAGACTTGAGTACAATTATTAAAATAGATTTTATTGAGTTCTTTTAGAGAAAAATTTGTTTTTCTGCATATTTTTTGCCTTTCAAATGTCTAATTCCTTTTTACAATGCAATAAAAAAAAATAAAAAAAATAAAAAAAAAACCCTTATTTTTGTAGTTAATGCAATACATTTTTACACACTTGGGCAACATCTTAACAAAAGTTTTTCTTTGCCATTTTTTTTCTTCAAATTGTTATGAAATGTTTTTGCTGAAATTTTTTTCAAGTACTATAAATAGTGATTAAAAAAAAAAAAAAAAAAAAATTAAAAACAAAATTGTCGCAATACAACGATTAAACTAGAGATATTTCACGTGAAAACGTGAAAGACGTCAAAGAGTTGAAATATAAAGTTGCACTGATTATATATTTACCTTTTTTTTCTCCTTACCACTTTGATATAATACGTATGTGTACACCCTTATAAATTTCAGGTACAAGAATTCGATTGGTTAATTGAGCCAATTCGGGTTTAGCGCTAATTTTAAGACGTCTAATTTAAAATGTCGACCGCTGAGAGAGAAAGGGTGTTTATGCGCGCCGGGCTGGAAAGATCGTACCACCGATCGGCTCGCAAAAACTTGTTATTTTAATTTTAAGCCGCGTATTGCTAAAACTACACGCTGTCCGCGTTTAATTGCGCCAAAAGCGACCTGATTAGCTACACCAAGGAAATCAACTTGAGGGAGGGGAAACATCCATCCTTTTCGACTGTACGCGGCGATAGTTTCGGCACACCAAAAATTCCAGATGGATCGGTCGAGCAAAAAATTATTCTGGTGCACCTTACGACGGCCGTACTCGTCGATGGTGAGGGAAAAAATTCGCGACTATAGGTCAGTATATCATCCAAACGAATGTAACGTGTGTATATACCATGATGTAATACAAGAGAAGGTAAAAGAGAAGTTGAGTATATACAAGGTTCCCGCACGATCGTATGGTATTTTTCTTTTTCAGCACAGCGTGTCTGCCGTCACGATGATATGCTCGTCCGGTTTACCATACATACATACATACTCTTATGATCGGTGAAATTGCCGAATTGATCCGTCTTTTGTACAACGTGACGTAGGTATAATAAGACGGGGACATAATATATAAAAGCGACCTGCTTCGATGCCCGAGGCAACGCGTACATTAACAAGTACATATACCATATACGTTATTAGTGTACATGGGTGGTGCGTGTATGTACGCGGTAGTGTGTGCTGGCCTTGCGCGTCGCCGTAACTTCGCGGCCTGAATACCTTTTGACGATGAAGGCCCGCATCCAGTCAATCCGTTGTACTGCGGATAATGGTGTATATCTCTGCGAATGTAAAAAGTATCCCGAGATTGTGCTGTTGCGAACCCTTTCGAGCGACCCAAGAATGTAATTTTCAGGATTTTTTGAACAAGAGCGTTTTAAAAACATTTTTCCCATTAACATCAGGGTCGTGGCAGAATAAAGGGTAAAAGGAGTGAGGATTTTTTTTTTTTTTTTTTTTAAAGCTGAATTTTTAATTGAAAGCAATCATAAATAATTCATCAGAGCAATGAGTATCAATGGAGTTGCCCAATGGAATGACAACGACACCTGTGATGTCAACAGTGTACTTGAATAATAATTGAAGTTCTCCCTTACGCAAATCTTCTACATCGCGCTCCTGGCGAAAGACGAAAAAAACCCTTCGACCACCGTCTCTGTGGGTTGCTTAGGGCAAAGAGACGTGAAAGGAAAAAACCCGTGAATTTTCGTGCTTCATTGTCCTTCTCGAGCTCGGGTTTCGAGTCCCTTTGTTTTTCATCCTCGGGAGCAAATTCACCCCTTTTTCTCTATGCCAGCCCATTTTGCGAGTAAAACGTATACCTCAGAGCGCAGAATCGCGTCCCGTGTTCGACAGTCACGCGATTCTCGCTTGCTCGAGTCAATGTATGTATGGGTGAGGCAGAGAAAATTATCCTTCTGGTCGAATCGGTACTCCCACGCTCCACTTGCAATCTCGTACATCATCATTNAAAAAAAAAAAAAAAAAGCAATCTTCGGAAAAACAAAAAAAAATAAAAAAAAAAAATAAAAAAATAAA